CCTCCGGGGACCTGGTGTAGGGCCTGCCCCGAGCCAAAGGCCAAGGCTGGCAGCTGGAGGAGCCGGCTCAGCCGGTTTCCAACAGAAACCAGCCGGCACCCGAAATGGCCCCGCCGGGAGAGGCAGTATCTGGGCAGAGCTGACCGTGGCCCAGCCCGAAGCAGCCGGCACCAGGCACCAGCAGCATGGGGAGCCCCACACGCCCCACTCTGCCCCACGCACGCACTGTGGCCAGCATCTCCCAGGGTTTTTAATGCCAAACAAAGCCCAGGCTGTGCCGGGGCAGCTCGTCCTACTGCAAGGTCCCCGATTCGGGGCTGTGCCCAGCCCCGGCTGACACCGCCGGCAATGCCCACCATGGGGACAGCAAGGGGTGGGGAGGTTATTCATTGGAAAGTGACGCACTCTGCCCACCCCAGCCTTGCCCCACAGCCATCCTCACCACTCATAACCTGTTTCCCAAACCCCCCCCCACTGCTGACAGGGGTCCTCAGTCTGGGACCCTGAAGCCTTCCCGGGATCAGCAGGGTCCCTGGTCTCAGCCAGTGCTGCAAAACCGCTCATCCCTTGTCTGGTCCTGGTTGTGCAGGACCAGGGTCCCAGATCCCCCCAGAAGCTCCTCTAACCCAACCCCACCCACATCGCGATGGGCTGATCCTGATCCCCGGCTCTGGAAAAGGGTCTCTGGAAGGTCTGACCCAGCCGGGGTGTAAATCAGTAGGATGGAGGCACGTCCTCCAGCCCTCGAGGCACGGAGTTGTGGCGGCGGGGTCCCAGGATACCCCCCGGGGTATCTCCCTGCCATTGGGGCAGGACTCCAGGAGGGTCACAGGGTCCTGGAGCCACCCAAAGAGGGACAAAGCATGGCCGGTTCCCCAGGTGAAAGCACGGCTGGGTCCCCGTCCCCAGATGGGAAGCGGGGCCGGCAGATCCCGGGGAACAGGGTTAGACACTCACCGAGCCTCGGATCCGACCAGGAAGGAGCTGAGCTCCCGGGCTGGTGGCAGTGGTGTCACTCCAGGGTGCCTTGCGTAACCCTTTATGGGCCAGACGCTGCCTGCAGGAGGGAACGAGGTAGAAGGGGGTCCCGGGGCAGCTTCCCGGGCACAGCAGGAGTCACGGTGGGCTGTCCCTGTTGTCCTCCATGGTGCTGGTGGCTCAGCCACGTCCACTCGCCCCCCACCCAGCCCTGGGCAGGGACAGGCTCACAGGATCCTGAAGGGGGTGGTGCCCAGGGATGGGAATCCTTCCCCCCCCAGCCTGGCCCCCTCCAAGGAGGTGGCGGGGCTCTGTGCTGACCCGCACTGCCCTGGACCCCCAAACTCTCCCAGCAGCCCTGCTCAGGAGTCCCCGGGGGGGACCAAATGGCTTCACCCAGTGCCCCAAGAGGGGACAGGGACGGTGGCCAGCCTGGGGTTCCCAGTCC